GGACCCAAATTACACCACTTGAAGTCTTAAGGATTAGAAAAAAAATCGTGAAAAGAATCGTAAATCGGTATCCACTGAAACGATTTGTGATAAAATTTAAAATTGTATAATTTGTAAATTGAAATTACGCAAATTGAAAAATATATCGAAAGGCCAAAATAAAGTTTACATGTTTTATTTGTATCGAACTCTTCCTCCACAAATGTGTATCCGCTCTTATTAGTAGATTTCTCCTCGTCAAGCGTATCAAAAGCAGGTGCGATATTCTCATAATCGGTATTATTCACAAACTAAAAATAAAAAAAAATAAAAAAAAAAGAAAAAGAAAAAAAAAGTAATCAAGCTCGTGACATTATTCCTTTTACTTTTTTTGACGTTGGACGATTTAAAAATTGTGCGAGCACACGTTGAACACACCGCACCCCAATTTCTTGTTGCAACAAACACAGTTCTTTGATTTTTATTTTGTTAGATTCGGGATAACCAACCAACAGATTAAAGAACGAGGTTATTAACAACAAAAAAAAAAAAAGAAAAGAAAAAAAATCGTGAAAAGAATCGTAAATCGGTATCCACTGAAACGATTTGTGATAAAATTTAAAATTGTATAATTTGTAAATTGAAATTACGCAAATTGAAAAATATATCGAAAGGCCAAAATAAAGTTTACATGTTTTATTTGTATCGAACTCTTCCTCCACAAATGTGTATCCGCTCTTATTAGTAGATTTCTCCTCGTCAAGCGTATCAAAAGCAGGTGCGATATTCTCATAATCGGTATTATTCACAAACTAAAACTAAAAAAAAATAAAAAAAAAAGAAAAAGAAAAAAAAAGTATCAAGCTCGTGACATTATTCCTTTTACTTTTTTTGACGTTGGACGATTTAAAAATTGTGCGAGCACACGTTGAACACACCGCACCCCAATTTCTTGTTGCAACAAACACAGTTCTTTGATTTTTATTTTGTTAGATTCGGGATAACCAACCAACAGATTAAAGAACGAGGTTATTAACAACAAAAAAAAAAAAAGAAAACAAATGAAACCACAGAGAGTAATAAAATAAAGGTCGACCAAATGTTAGATAGAACCGGGGGGAAAAAAAAAAAAAAAAAAAAGTACTTGGTGCTTATATAATTGCAAATATGCAAGCAATTGCCTTTTTGTTATGTATGCGATTATGGAAACGTTAGTGCCAGTTACAGCAACAAGGCCGGTTTTATCATTGCTACGAGATTATTAGAGTTGGCTCGAAACATGATTTTTAGATCGGCGATCCATCGAATCTTTAAAACGAGACCTCGAAACTTTCAAAAGTCTCGAAACTCTCGAAAATAAATACACGTATCTTTTAAGATTCTTTCTCGAATTAAAATTTTGAAATTCCGATAACGGTCATCGATCATTTGGTTCGTGAAATATTAAATTTCTTTGCTCTCATCCTTTCCACGTATCTTACATTAAAACAAGTCTAAAGATAAGCACAATCATCTAAACACAAACTTCGCTACACGTACACAATAATAATGGATTTCGAGAGTTTCGAATCATAGAGACGACAAACTGAAATAACATTCTAAAATTGTACTCCATCCCTCCACGAGATATATTCCCAATCCACGATGAAATTCAACACGTATTTCCTCTACTAGCTTAATCTGGTCGAATAACGACGATAATATCACAGTACGTAACATTATTAACATCACAATATTACAAAAAATAGAAAATGTTCTGATCTGGATGTTCCTCATCGATGAAGGACCCGAGTAGCGTTCGACTCGATAAAATTCTTCTGGACGTTGGTAACGAGAAAAAGGTGAAGAATAGGCGAACATTCAGGCATAGCGGAGAACGAGACGAGAAGCGGAGGTGATTTGAAAACGCGGTAGCTAGGAGGGAGTATGCATTTTAGTCGCTTCATTTCGAGCTGGTTCCCGCCCCTCGGGATCTGGAAACCGTGGCCGAACCGGATGAACCGCGAAATTAATTTTCTTTCAAACTTCCTCCGCTCTTCCAAGTTGATACGAATTTCTGGAAACGCAACGGCAACGAGAAAAATGCGAACGAGATCGAGCAATAATGACTCTGGATGCGGATTAACTCGAAGAGATATTAATATTAATCATTATTCTTCCTTTCCTTGGTCTTTTGATTGTTTCTTCGAAATTAATATACTGGATATATTGGGAGAATAGAATTTTTCACTCTTTCAATAGATTCAGAAGCAGAGTTGAGCTATATATAGAAGCTACATATCATTCATTAGAAATACTTGAAAGTATTTGCATCCTGAATTTTTAAATATTTTCAAAAAATAAAGTATCTTTTTATATAAATATATTTATAATTGTTTAAATCAAAATTTATAAAAAGAAAGTATGAATATACTTTCTGTATCTGTTCACAATTTCAAAAAGTAATTATTTCAAGTTTTAAGTTTTGAATTCCTTGTAATTTTAGATATTACACCGTAAAAAAAGGATTAATTAATAGAAAATCGAAACAATCCACGATATAATTACACACGTATATGTATATATATATATATAGATTTTTACATATATATAATGATTTAATTAATAAATCTACATTCAACAAGTATCGAATAGAGATTTAATTTTAACTCGATACTGTAACGTTATTTTAATCAGATATTTAAACGTTTCTTGGTGCATCGGAATGCATTTTGAAATGAACGAAAGATGGCACGGCGCAACATTTGTAACGAAATAGTATATATCGACAAACGGATGGTGTATCGACAAGAAGGATATTTAATCCAACAATTGGGAATATCTACAAATTTCCAAGCGAGCCGAGCAACAGCCCTCGCATGTTTGCACATATGTACACGAATTTAATTCAACGTCACTCTTTATCACGTGACACCGTCGAAATTGCATGTCAGAAAGATTTACTGGATTCGAAGAACCGGACACACTATACGATACGTTTTATTTCTTTGTTTTGGAATGTTGTGCTACACGAGGGGAGAATATAAGGACAGAAATTGGAAACACGTGGCAACAATTTTAAACATTGATACCATGATTTTCGTACGCCATTTTATTGTTTCACGGACATAACTCTTAACACGCTATTATCGTTTAAGGAGAAATTCGACAAATCACGCATTAATTATAATACTTTTGCATTAAAGAAATAAAAATAAAAAAAAATAAGAATAAAAATACAATGAATAAGTGCAAAAAAAATTATATAACAGTAAAAAATACAAAATCTAAATCTAATTGTATAATAAACGTAGCTCGTACTGAACACATGGCAAAATGAAACCTTCCATTTTTACACATTTCATTTTTTTCACAAGAATAACGCGATCGTATATGTCATCTGTTGTTGGATAGGAAATTCTCATATACGCCGCATTAAAATTTATTAAAAAAAAAAATAAAAAAAAATAAAAAAAATAAAATAAAAAATGAAAGGTTTCATGATAAAATTATTTTTTTCATTTTATATGACACAAATATATGATGAACAAACGTGTTAAAAAAAGTCGTCAGAATGTATTCAGAATGAAAAAGAAAAAAAGTAAAATGATGATTGAAAACGACGAGGAAAATCGTGGTATTTTCGTTTCTCTATCAAATACACAGAAATTGGATCTCGGAAGATGTTCCGTTGCGTTTCATCAGTCGAATAGAGGCAGCTCGTTAGAAACAGGACCTACCGAGTCTATTAATATGTGAGGGAAGCAACCCTATCTAAAAAGTGACTTAGCAACTCCAATGCATACTAAGCAACCTTTATGTTACTAGCTGCTGCTAGCTTCGTGTGCACTCCCTGACACACCTCCTCTTCTAACTTTCAGTTCCTACCACCACTATCGGCTCCTTCCTAACCCATCTTTATGGGCTAGCAACAGCACATCCAACCCAGTTCTATATATACATATATATTCCAACACACACGTAATGTACTCGCACCTACACATATAGTTCTTTGGAAGCTATCGAAACACATTCATGCGTGCTTGACTCCACACAAAGTACTCGATCGATAATAGAAATTGGCAACTTGTAATTAGAGAATATCTTGTGTCAGTAAATACAGAAAAAGTCAAAAGTGAATATAAAACTTACAAAAATAATAATTGTTTCATACTGATGTTAGATCTTTAAATGTCTGTATTTTTCTTTCTTATTCACATATATACAATTGGTCCTCAAGTATCCTCAACTTCCTTAAAGATGATTTTTCATTATACATATATTTTCTCCTGAAATAAGTTAGAATCATAGAATGAAAATATATATATGTCATAAATTAAATTGCCTATTTTTTTTTCATAGATGTACAATTTTCAATAAAATGTACATTTAAAATGGCTGGTTATTTATGTGATTAACTATTTTTCAATCAATTTTTAATAATTTTATAACACAATTGCAAGATATAATAAATAAATTCTTTACTTTATTACATAGATACAATGTATACTCACTTTTGACTTTCACTAGATATTCAATATCTTCGTATTTTAATGTTTTCAATTTATTAAATTGAATTACCCTGCGTATGAGCTTGAGCACAGATATCGTTTCAACATATACACAGATTCACTGGATTCCACCTCGTCCTTCTTTCATCTTTCCATTTTCCTCCACATTCAAACATTCTTTCTCGCTATATGTGTGAATATGCGGTGAGATGGCACATGCATTTATAGAAAACACAATGCAATGGCTTGAAAATGGATGGAAATCAAGAGCAGAGTTCTAATTTATCGACTGTCAAACATGATCAATCGTCATCCATATCGCACAAAAATGAAAATGAACAAATCTTGCTGTCTCTTTCCATTCATTCGAAGCCACTGAGAAAAATTCTTCAAAATCAGAATTTAAGCATTATTGGGATTGAATTTAGCACATGCTAAAGAATGCAGGGCACTGAAGAAAGCGAGGCAATGATCACTGACTACAGGGGAGAAAATCTAATTTTAATGAGAAGAAAAGTGATGACGGTTTACCTGGTGCATAGGATCGTAGCCCATCGAGCCGTCGTTGTACGGTTGCGAGCCATAATCGCTACCGTTTATGCCCATCCCGTATCCGGCCATGTCTTGCGGGCCACCAGGTGGCGCCGGCGACATCATCGGCGTCGGGGTGCCTTGGCTGGCACCACCCATACTGTACGGCGACGCTCCTGCAAAAGCTGCTGTAGAAACAATCGCGGTGCATACAAAATTCGAGGGTGCGTCTTTTTAAGTTCTTCCGCTTCACCGATACATTTCGTTTATCGCAAAAAATATAAGTGAACTCGTTTTTAATTTTTATCGTTGTGTAATCGGTGGCGTTGTTGATTCTGATTTTTGGTTCGATCTCATTTTTTAACCTTTTTGAGATTAATAGGATGATATATTAAAAGAAAATTGTGAAATTGTTACAATTTTTTTAGTAGTTAATTGATATATACGAGTATTGAAACATAGAGATTATATATTGGAGTGGAATGAATAAAAATTATTCCTGACTTTTAATAGTAAAAAAAAAAATATGCAATATTATTAAATTAATTAGTTAGAAATTTACTTCTCTATGTTTGATTTGAAAAATTTGTTACAAGTTATATAAATTCATTATTGAAAAGTGTTATATAATTTTTTCATTTCAACATATTATTCATTCCATTTCAAAAACTAATTATAATATTGTATTCATGATAAAAAAGAAAAATTCTTCCAGAAAGAGTTAATAATGGAGTATCAAAATTTTAACTTCGAAATTTTTAATTACAGACGCCACTGATCAATCAAATCGACAAATATATCATTGGATCATCTTCAATAGACCGTAGAAAATGAACGAATTATCGGTTGAAAGCGAATTTTTAATCAACTTTCGTTATTCAAAGTACACGAAACGATATCTAGTTTTAAATATCACCGTGGAAATTAGCTTAGTTACGTACCAGCATAATAAGAGCAATTTTTATTTTGAAACGTGAAAACATTTTTTGCCATTCGAAATAAAATATCGAGGAATCCGCCAATGTTGGCGTCACTATCGTTGGAATTCCGTTTCCTTAATTACGAGAAGACTGCGTTTACCGGAAAGAGCATTGCTGAGGAAAGACAAACGTAGGAAGGGTGTCGAAAGAAACGCGAGAATCTCATCGCCCTCCCCATGTATCCTCATCCTCGTCTTCTCATTTTTCGCTCCCTCTTTCTCAGTATAATTAGTAAGTTAAAAATATCTCGCCTTGCCCTCTAAAATAAAGAGACGTCGCTGTAGTTAAGAAAAGTACGCGTAATTGTAAGTTGTGCGAATGCGAAGAATTTTCAGGGAATATATTCATAGAATTTTTCTTTTACTTTTCTTAAGAATGCAAAAATCTAAATAGAAACGACTTAAAATGACGATATTGAAAAAATCTGTCTATTATTATGGTTAAAGGAGATATGTTAAAATGGATAAAATATGTTAATTGCAAAAAGTTAAATGAATTTTTTTTTTTTTGTATACTAGAAAGAAAAGATTGAGAATTGCGGACGATAATTTTGTTTACTCTTGAAAGATTTATAAGTCAGGTGCAATAATAATGGCATAGCCAGAACTGAACAATGAGTAGTAATTCAGTCGTGTAATGATTTATGATAATGAAGAACCATTATACCACGTGATTTGTTTTTCCTTCTAAGTTCGATGTTGGAATGATCGTGATGAAGTCAAAAAAATTAACGAGTTCATTAAATATATAATCTATTGTGCGTCAATCTATTGACTGATTACGTGACATTTCCTCAGCAATGCTCCATGAATGGTAAAAAGAATAATCGAATAATTGAATTTTTTGATAGATAAAATTACAATATTCGTGAATTTTTGATTGATATTCTTCAATCAAGTTATCGAAACGAACTCTTCAAGGAACACCCGTCGCTCATTTGCGAAGGACGGAACTTACCAGCTGCCTTTTTGGCTGCGTACAAGTTCGCCTCCTCCTGTGCTTTACCTATGTTTTTCTTGTAGCGTATCCTCTTGTTGCCGAACCAATTAGAAACCTGCAATCAAAATAAACGGTGCATCATTAAGAAATTTTTAAAAAGATTTAATATTGAAAATAATATTATCAGAATTATCAATACTTATCAATATTAAAAATCATTAATTATTAATCATTAAATATATTTTATGTTCAGATCTTTTAAAAATAGAAAGCATGATATTGCAAAATGTTTAAAACAAAAATCTTAAAAATTTTATTCTACATGGCCATTTAAAATGAAATTCATTCAATAATTTTTTCTTATTAATTTCACAATTAATATTGTTTAATGATACATTGAATATGTATAAAAATATAAAAAATGGAATTCATTCTCAAATTCTAAAGTATGAAATTAATCATATAAAAAAAGAATAAAATGATTTTAATCAGAATTTTAATGTTAATAATAATCAAAAATGTAACCCAACAAATATCTTGAAATAATAATTCAAATTATTATAAAAAAAATGATATTTTCTTGTACTTTACCTGACTCACGGTGATTCCACATTTTCGTGCGAGTTCTTCTTTAGCTTCTTCACTTGGATATGGATTACTCAGGTGTGAATAGAAATACTCGTTGAGGATTTCAGAGGCTTGTTTGCTAAAGTTTCGTCTTTTACGCCTGTGATAAAAAGCAATTTATTTCCTCTTTGCACCAATTACTTTTCATACGTCAAAATTAAAAAAATAAATTATTATTTATTAATTTTTACACGATGAATACTTGCCTTGCATCGAGGAATCGACTCCTCAAAATCATCACAGCCTCACAGGTAGACTGTTTCAGTTGCATTTGAATGCTGGAGAACTTCTTATGAATAATCTGAACCATCCTCTCAATCTCTTTTGGCGTGATTGGCCTGGTGCGACTTTGTTCCCTCAATAAATTCATTACATGAGTTGTGAACTCGTTACACGCCTGAAAAAAAATTCAAATTTATTTTGTTGCTATTTTCCTTTTACTTCAAGATCTTTTTCTTTAATCTTTACAATTTTGTGTAAAGAATTAAAAGAAATGTTTATTGAATGTTAATTTTAACTACTTATTGTTTGGTGATAGTTTTTTTAATTTTCCTTATTTACTCTACGATTCTTCAGTATTTCAAAATCACAGGCAAGAATCGTTAACAAGCACTCAATTAAAAAAAGAATAAGAAATTACATCGTCAAAAAAAAGTTTTCTTCAGATATCCTAGAAGAAAAGACTAACGTCTCGGCATCAAGAATGACGTTTCTCAAACAAGAATGAACGAAACCGCAAAAGAAAGCGGAGAAAAAAGGATTCGTTCGAAGAAACAAAATGAAGCAGAAAACGAAAGAAGAAGAAAAAAGAAAAGAAAGAAGAAAAAGAAAGAAGAGAAACCTACGACGATCGAGGATAAAAAAGCGAGAAGAAAGACGCGTACGTATAATGCATTATTCCTGGTGGCTGCTCGGTTTAAGGGAAAAAGGACTTTGCTCGATATCAGTATTCGAGACGAGCACGCTACCTTCGGATAGGGAGCGAGGGAAAGGACACGAGGAGGAAAGGGAGAATGGAAAGTGGTAGAAAGACGTAGAACAAGGGTAGAAGAGTGTGGAGGAGGGTGGATTTTCCTGAGGGAAGGCGGTAGAAGAAAGAGGTTGGGGAGAGAAGTCGGACAGGGTGGCTCGCAATTTCGAAATGGATTCCACTCTGCCGCCATACCCCGGCGCTTTCCTCGTCTTTCTTCCATCTACCTCGTTTCTCTTCGTTCTCCTTCTTTCCTTTTCGCTCTCCTCTCTTTCTCTCTTTTATCTTTGCACGAGGCGTACCACCGACTTGGTGGGGTGGATCAGCTTCATTCCTGGCTTGCTGTTCGCGTAGGACGAGGGGCTTGGGACGATCTCGAGTAGGTGGATTGGATGGAAAACCCGCAGAGAATTATGCCCTTCCTTGCGAACTTTTCTCCAATTTTTAAATTATCGTCCAAACAAAAATATACGATTTTTTGTTTTGTTTTTTTTTAATATTCGTAGTGAGAATCCTTTGGGTGATGGATGCTGTACTGTCTCCCAAGTATCGAATGAAAATCGATCATACAGTAAATACAGATTTTGGAATCCATTGTTCGATATGAGACACGACTTAAAAAATAATAAATAATAAATTGTTATTAAAAATATCATTTTTTTATAAAAAATTTTTATATAAAATAAATATATAATTTTTTATCGATAATCTATTTAAGTTTTCCAATTATATATATGGAATAATGTTAAAACAGATAAAAATACAAATAAATTTAAAAGATTTCAAAAAGTTAGATATTTATCAATTTTTAAAGTTTCAGAAAATATATATAGAGATCCTTTTGTTTCACATGTATGTAAAACATGTATTACACATTCAGCAAATAAAATCGAAATTCAATTCGTTAATTTTACCATATGGATATTTGTACTAAAAATTTGTTAATTTTATCATATGGATACTTATGCTTAAATATGATATAAACATTGGTATTATAATTACATAAGTAATTTTATAGGTTATACTGCATTTACATTGATATAACGACTTATAGAATACTTACATCATAAACGATAGAAATGAAACAAAAGTGAAACGTCTACAACAAAAGCAACTTGTTCAATTTCAGTAATAAATTTACTATAATATTTATTTAAATCACAATTCTTCTGCAATATAATTAAAGATAACATTTGCAATATTTGTGTAATAATATACGATGTCAAAAAATATCTTAATATATTAAAGAAAAATTGAAGATCGTTGAATATATAACAGAACGAGAATGAATGAGACCGTACATGATTATAAGAAATGTATGATGAGTAAGATATAGGTAAAAATAAATTACTGTCATGGAAGACGAAAAATACGTGTGAAATTAGAAAAATATTGAATGATATTAGAATACATTATATTAAAATACAATTATTAGTATTATTATTAGTATTAAAATAATATTAGTATTAAGTGCAATAAATAGATTAAAATAAATATATAATTCATTCAATTCAATATTCCTTGCTATTGTAAAAAACAAAAAAAAGGAAAATTGATAAGAGTTGTTTCTTCATATTCGTTAGAAAAAGAAAAATTGAAGATCGTTAAATATATAAAACAGAACGAAAATGAATCAAACAGTACACGATTATAGAAATAATTAAAATATAGGTGAAAAAGTGAGTGTTATGAAAAACGATCAAAAAGTGCGTGTGAAAGAGTTAGAAAGACAATTGAATAAAATATTAATATATTAAAATAAAATTATTAGTATTAAAATATGATGACATGAAATGTGTTAAGTGCAATAAAATAAATATAAATTAAAATAAATATATAGTTTATTTAATTCAAATTTTTCCTACTAAAAAAAGATAAAAAATTGATACGACTTGTTTTTTTATGTACGTTATAAATTCTTAAGAAAAATTAAAGTTTGTTAAATATATAAGACAGAACGAGAATGTATGAAATTGTACATAATATATGATTATGGAAGAAACTTATAATGAGTAAGATATAGGTAAAAAAAGTGACTGTCATGGAAAACTATCAAGAAATGCATGTAAAATTAGAAATCGATAATAGAATAGAATATTATTTTATTAAAATAAAATTATTATTAGTACTAAAATAAAATTAATGTTAAGTACAATAAATAAATATAAATTAAAATAAATATATAGTTCATTTAATTCAAATATTTCCTATTGTAAAAAATAACGAAAATTGACAAGACTTATTTCTCATGTTATAAAATACGTTATAAAATTAGAAAACGTTAAAAAAAATTAAAGACCGTTAAATATGTAACACACAAGAATGAATAAGATCGTATATGATTATAGGAAAAAGTATAATAAATAATAATAAATAATGTATAATAAATAAGATATAGATAGAAAAGTGAGTAAGTGAAAGATAATCGAAAAGTGCATGTGAAATTAAAAACACGATAATAGAATAAAATGTTATTATTTTAAAATAAAATTAATATTAATATTAAAGTAATATTAATATAATGTGCAATAAATACAATAATAGTACAATAAGTAATATTAGATTAAAATAAATATATAGTTTATTTAATTCAAATATTTTCTTACTATTGTAAAAAAGAACGAAAATTGACAAAACTTGTTTCTTCGTGTTCGTTATAAAATCTTGAGAAAAATTAAAAACCGTTAAATATAACAAAGAACGAGAATGAATGAGACCGTACATGATTATAGGGAGAAATTTATAATGAGTAAGATATAGGTGAAAAAATAAATGAGTATCATGAAAAACGATCGAAAAGTAAAATGTGAAATTAGAAAGACAATTGAATAAAATATTAATATATTAAAATAAAATTATTGGTATTAAAATATGATTAGTGTTAAATGCAATAAAATAAATCAAATTTAATTCAAATTTTTCCCTGCTATTGTAAAAAAAAAACTAAAATTGACCAGATTTCGTTATATACGTTATAAAATTTTAAGAAAAATTAAAGATCGTTAAATATATAACACAAAACGACAAAAAAAGATAAAAATTAACAAGATTTCTTTATGTACGTTATAAAATTTTAAGAAAAATTAAAGATCGTTAAATATATAACGAAGAACGAGAATGAATGAGACCGTACATGATTATAAGAAGAAACCTATAATGAGTAAGAAATAGGTGAAAAAATATCATGGAAGACAAATGAAAAGTGTGTGTGAAATTAAAAATAACATTTGCAATATTTGTGTAATAATATACGATGTCAAAAAATATCTTAATATATTAAAGAAAAATTGAAGATCGTTGAATATATAACAGAACGAGAATGAATGAGACCGTACATGATTATAAGAAATGTATGATGAGTAAGATATAGGTAAAAATAAATTACTGTCATGGAAGACGAAAAATACGTGTGAAATTAGAAAAATATTGAATGATATTAGAATACATTATATTAAAATACAATTATTAGTATTATTATTAGTATTAAAATAATATTAGTATTAAGTGCAATAAATAGATTAAAATAAATATATAATTCATTCAATTCAATATTTCCTTGCTATTGTAAAAACAAAAAAAAGGAAAATTGATAAGAGTTGTTTCTTCATATTCGTTAGAAAAAGAAAAATTGAAGATCGTTAAATATATAAAACAGAACGAAAATGAATCAAACAGTACACGATTATAGAAATAATTAAAATATAGGTGAAAAAGTGAGTGTTATGAAAAACGATCAAAAAGTGCGTGTGAAAGAGTTAGAAAGACAATTGAATAAAATATTAATATATTAAAATAAAATTATTAGTATTAAAATATGATGACATGAAATGTGTTAAGTGCAATAAAATAAATATAAATTAAAATAAATATATAGTTTATTTAATTCAAATTTTTCCTACTAAAAAAAGATAAAAAATTGATACGACTTGTTTCTTTATGTACGTTATAAATTCTTAAGAAAAATTAAAGTTTGTTAAATATATAAGACAGAACGAGAATGTATGAAATTGTACATAATATATGATTATGGAAGAAACTTATAATGAGTAAGATATAGGTAAAAAAAGTGACTGTCATGGAAAACTATCAAGAAATGCATGTAAAATTAGAAATCGATAATAGAATAGAATATTATTTTATTAAAATAAAATTATTATTAGTACTAAAATAAAATTAATGTTAAGTACAATAAATAAATATAAATTAAAATAAATATATAGTTCATTTAATTCAAATATTTCCTATTGTAAAAAATAACGAAAATTGACAAGACTTATTTCTCATGTTATAAAATACGTTATAAAATTAGAAAACGTTAAAAAAAATTAAAGACCGTTAAATATGTAACACACAAGAATGAATAAGATCGTATATGATTATAGGAAAAAGTATAATAAATAATAATAAATAATGTATAATAAATAAGA